TTTGGACTGTTACTAAAGCAAATCTCTTTCGTTGAAAAAACTTTACACTCCAAGATTACTTAAACCTCTTGAACAGAGTGCCCTTAGCTGGTGAGTTTTAAATTTGATATTTTTTCAAGATTCCACTTGAGTATAAACAATTCTAAGACGGAATAAGTATGTATTTTACTGCAATCAATTCTTCTCTTGGATTTGTTTATCCTCACGTGAAAAACATTGAAAAATTTGAAGGTGTTAGTAAAAAATTAGAGCAGGTTATATACCCTCCAAATGTAAGTCAAAACTAGAGCCTTCCTGCTGATTCTTTTAAGAACAGGCATAGATATAAACAATTTTCTCCATAAATACATATTTTTGACTGTATATAGGTATGAAAAAGGACTTTATCTGAAAACTCTCATGCAAATTCAGGGAAACATTTCAGATTGGGTGATTTTGAGCACTCACAATGCAAATCTTTTGGAACTAACCACGCACGGTTTTAGTTGTATTTTCTCATCATAGCTGATGCTCCTCTTCAGTGTACATATTATAATGTTCAAAGTAAATTTAACATAAAACTTAAGAATTTTAGTCTTTGAGCTTTAGAACGATATATCGACGCTGTAAGTCTCCAATCACAAATCTCGTTTGCGGTTTCTGGAAATCTCTGTCTCTATGTTGTTTTTTTTTTTTTTTTTTTTTTTTTTTTTTTTTTTTTTTAAAAAAAATTGATATCATTCCTTGAAGTTTTTTCCAGAAATTCCCTCACACAGAGAAGAAAAATCATGACAGTTTTAAAGAATTGCCATTGAGTAATTTTCCGTTTCAAAAATAAAGTATGACAGGAAGTCTGAAACGTCGCAATCCGAGTTATGTAATCGCCGACTTACACAGTCTATCCACCTTTTTTGAGCTTTCAGGGTCAAACTTGCGTCATAACTTCTAAAATGTCTTACTCTATGCAGAGATACTGATAACATCAATCCGAATTTTTGGAGAATAAGATTCCTTTTTACACGACTTTCTTGATTTTTAACAAGTTCTGATCTCTGTATATGCTCTTCCTGCAGATTTGCGAGTCTCTCTGTGGAACTCTCTAACTTCCTTGGTCAATACTAATCATCAACATCATGGCTTCAACATCCACAGAAAATAACCAAGCAGAAGGATATTGTAACACGTGTGACGTCACAGCTGGTTCAAAACACTTCGTTTCAGAGGCCCATTTTAAGAAATTGTACAAAACTACTACCCCTATACTGATAGAGACAGCTATAAGTGGTCGAGCAAAGAATTATTTTGTGAAAAATTTCGATGAAAAACTACTCGATTTGAATGTGT